AAAACCCTTGTTCTCCCTTGACAACCCCACTCTGGGCTTCCTCCTGCCTTCACTGTCTCTGCCCCAGCTTGCTCTGTGTCCCCAAAGAAGTTTCTACCCAGCTCCATGCCTCAGTTTCCCTCAAGGAATTGCCCTAAGTCCCATTCAACTCTGAAATTTTTAGATCCTGTGATTCTCACTTTTCCTGCTGTGTCACATGTAGTGGTATGATGATAGTTTTGGAGCACTCAGGTTTTCAGGAGGCCTTGGCTCCAGCCTGGGAAGCTTCCTGGCTGGCAGGGAGAACTGGACCCAAACACCCTTGGTTCCAAAGGAGAGGGTCACTGGTAATGAAATCTTAGTACAGAGTCAGAAAAGAGGGTATCTCAGCAGGGCTTGGAAGGATACATAGAAGTTTGTACTGTGACTGTAAAGGGAGATGGGAAATGGTATGGAAATTTTGGGGCCTTATGTTTCCCCCTCATTCCTTCCATCCTGACTTTCTCTTCTCCCTTTTCAGGTGGGCATGACGGCTCCTGGGACCCGGCGGCACATCTATGACACCAAGCTGGGGACTGACAAGTGTGACAATTCCTCCATGTCTCTGCAGATGGGCTACACACAGGGTGCCAACCAGAGCGGCCAGGTCTTTGGCCTGGGCCGGCAGATATACGACCCCAAGTACTGCCCACAAGGCTCAGTGGCTGATGGGGCTCCAGATTCAGCTGGTGACTGCCCAAGCCCAGGGAAGGCCCCAGAGTACCCCCCCTACTACCAAGAGGAGGCAGGCTACTAAAGCCCCCTCCTTGCAGGGTGTCCCCATATCATTGCCCCATCTGAGATTTCAGGTTTTTCTGTGTTTTCATCTTGTTTTTCTGTGTGTTCAAGTGCTTCCAGTTGAGGGTCTGTGAAGGCCAGATCCAGATGTGGGGCCAGGGCACATCCAGGTAGCAAATTTCCCAGCAGGCTTTGGGCCAAGCTGTCAGGGGGAAGAAGAAACCTGTGCAGGGAGGGAAACTAGCCCCAAATGGCTTCCGGTTGCTTCTGCCCATCTTCCCTTTTCTTTGTTGATCAGTTTGTGGTTTCTGTACCCACAGAAGTTTCAGGCAGTTTTAACGAGTGATTTTTTTTTTTTTTTCCCGGGAAATGGGGTGGGGATGGTGGAGGGGGGTGATGGGAAAGAAGTTTCCTGGGAGAGAGCCAGGCCACAGTCACCAGATATTTTAGGCATCATGAGAGACTGCATTTCCCCAGGACCCTCACAGGGGCCCAGTGAGGAAACACGCCCAGGCAGGACAATAGAGTTCTGAGTGGTTGAGGCAAAGTCAGATCCCCTCCCCTTCTATACTTGTTCCCTTTTCCCCACCAAGTACTGCACAGGGATTCCCCCCAGGAGGCCCTCCCTGGGACCAGTCCCACCCAGGAGCCCTGGGACCAAGAGATAATGTGAAATACCAACTATGGACCAAAGGCAATAAAAACCTCTCTTTAAAAGGAAAGGTGCTGGGAGAGTTGGCATCAGAGGCAGCCTGGGGGAAATGTTAGCTTGGATCCCTTCTGGGGTCCTGAGGGACCTGGGGGTGGGCAGTGGGACAAATATCCTCACAGCTATCTTGGGGGAAGGAGAAGCTGAGGCCCAGGGCACAGACCAGTCTGGGTTGAAAAAATGACCTGAGGCCTAGGACTTGGGATAGAGGAAGAGGCTGGGTCTCCTGGCTGGAGGTGGGGCCTCAATGCCAACCCCCCCC